AAGATGCAGTCGGAAGAATCGACAGGAGGTGAAAATGTAAGAATGTGATGCTTGGTTTTTCTGAAATGGAGGGTTTATTACAGAAGGAATCATTTCTTCAATGAAGAAAAGAGAAACTACTTTGTTAGACAATAAGATCTTGTTGAGTTCAATATGTGTAGATCCGAAAGGCTGAATTTTCTTGGATTACAACAAATTAAAAAGGCAAAGAAAGCCATTTATGAACTTTCATTAAGAATGAAATTATTCTCAGAACAATTGGAGAATTTGAATCAGGACAGTCAAACTGCAGACATTGCAATTGAGTCTCTGTCATCCTCTTCCAGTGATGAATTAGATTTTGAGAAATATTTTTGAATAATACTTGAGGCAAAGTGAATGAAAATAAAGAACCAAGAGTCTTTAGATATGAAAATGAAAAAATACAAACAAGATTTCTACACAGCCTTTGAAGAAATAGAGAAATATGATTGCGCTTGCAAGACACCTCTTTTAGAACTTATAAAAGTCTCTCCTGAAAAGTTAAAAGAAGTACCCTAACAATAGCTCTTCCTTCTACTCAAGTTAGCGTAGGAAGACTCTTCTCAACTTTGAAGTTTATTGGATCAGATCTATGGCCTTCCAAGAAAGAAGATCTTGCCGAAGCTATACTGTTTCTTAGAAATAACTAATGCTAGTTTTCCCATTTTGATAATAAATGCTAATTGATATAAATAATTTCCTATGGCATCATTTTTCTCTCTCTAGCATCTATTACTTCCTTTATGTTAAAAAAATAAGCTGTAACCCATGTGTATATTTTTACATAAATATATATATGAGGGAGTCGTGTAGGAGTCTAAAATTCCAGGAGTTCGGAGTCGGTCATCTTCCCTACCGGCTCCACAGCCCTGGTTTTAATCCTCTTACCTCTTTCAGGCATTTGACAGTTTGGCACTAATTTTATCAATTACGACAAAGTGGTGAGAATCAAAAATTGCACTCTGCTAAGATCTTATGCTGCTAATATCTGATCCATGTTTAGAAGCAATTACAGTCAAAAGTTGTTAATCCGGACTCGTCGGGACTTCGGCGATTCCGGATTATAGATCATCAGTTTAAATCTGTTAAGATGGCATGCAGAAATTACAAAATTAAAAATATGAAACCGTAATTTATGAAATAAAGAACAATTATGATCTAAAGGGTATCAAAATTTACAAAAAGAAAAAGCTTACTATTTATTTGTTTACTTTATTAAACATTTCTTTCAATGTAAGTTGTTTAAGTTGCTTCGTTTCATGTCATAATACTTTCTATTTAATTCTATTAAACAGACATAATTTCTTGTTTAGTTATAAAGTTTTGCTGTTCAAGTTCTATAATTGCTGTGTCGAGAATAGCGACTAATTTGTCAATCGAAATTTTTTTTGTTTTCAATAACCTCTCTGTCACTTTCTTCACTATCGGAAGCGAATTATAATGACGAGGAACTTGATTTAAATCATATCAAAGACGGAGTACATCGAGATGAAATACTGCATTTAGTAAGGAATTATAAGGCAAATAAAATAAAAACATCTGCCCTGAAGATTAGGATAGTGCTGACAGATCAACTTCCAATTCATTGCGCGACGTTTCCCCCTCTCCAGCCCCCCGCCGCAGAGCAGCGTGAAATTGATAAACAGATTTCGGATTTCGAAACATACTTTCGCTTTGTAGATCCTTTACATATTAGTAAATATATATCGGAAATTCTATTTAACATAATCGAAAGTTCAAGCCTACTTTTATAAATTGCTCTAACAGTCTGCAAAAAATAATAAGCCGGATCCAATTTGAAGATTAAGGAACAACGCAATCTGCAACATTAACTGAATTAAATAATTTTAGCTTAGCTTATACCGTCTATTATACATTAAACGTGCATGCGCACATGCATATTCGCAGCCGTAAAGGTCTTGCGTGCACACGCGTAAACGCGATGTATGCCCAGAAAGTTTTTAGCTTTGAGGTCCGGATTATAGATCATTCCGCATTATGGGTGGTGTCCGAATTAACGACTTTTGACTGTAGTATATGATCAGTCTGTTTCTGTGTCTCCCCATCAGGGGGTCATTAAGTAAATGCATATATGTATTTTTTATTCTAAAAAATGTACTGGATATTGTCATACCATTTTTGGTAGCTAAGTAGATGAATTTCTACCTGTTTTATCCTGAGTTCTTATGCATTCCTTCCAATGGTTGGTCTGTTGTCATATTTTTTACTAGTTCTGGCATTATGTCACCTGTTATGATCTTAACGTCATGCTTGGAACAAGTTCTATTAACTGTCCATGATACCTCATAGAATCATTGTTTTCTTCTCCTTCCTTATTCTGTACAGGAGCATGTACATATATCAAGCTATAAATAAAGAATCTACCTCTCATTGGAATTTCACAAATTTGAGATGATCATGCCACAAAATTAGTTAGTCTTATTCTCTTGATCACCACAAATCTCATACCAAAAATATGTTTCTTATCACAGCTGTAGTATACTAAATGGTTGGATATTTCAATTATTCCTTCACTAAGCCCTCTGATCTCCTGTATGGGAAGTATATCAGGGTTATATGTGTTTATCAAACTGCTCAATCAGTAATTGTAGTTCTTTACTAAAAAAGTGCAAATGTTCCATGTATCAACTTGCAGAATTCTTGAATCCTTTTAGGTCACTTCTTATAAGACTGAGTTCTTGAATCCTTGTAGGTCACTTCCTATAAGTGAGTTCTTGAATCCTTTTAGGTCGTTTCCTATAAGAGAGCCTAAAATTTCCTTTAAAATTTGCAGCAAGATTTTTTTTACAAGGAGCCTTTCATTTAGCCCTCAACCTGCAAGACCAGGTTTTTCAGTAACCTCTGGAAACAGGAGAATCCAGTCGTACACCCTTCCAGCCACTAGGTCGCTCAGGCACCTCAGGAAAACCGCCTTATAGTACACCTCACAAGTGTAAGGTCTCATGACGGGAAAATTTTTCTGTATTTAGTATCTAAATTTCTGTTTGATTATTTTGTAATGTTAACCATTAACCATTAGTGAAGAATTTATTCAGTTTCCTATGTCAAGAGCCACATATTTTTTATTAACTTCAATATTGTGTTTTTTGAAATATTAGTAAGCTTTTGTACATTTGCTTGTTTATAATACAGTCAAAAGTCTTTAATCCGGACTCGTCGGGACTTCGGTGATTCTGGATTATTGGTTTTTCCGGATTATAGATCATCAATCTAAATCTGGTAAGATGGCATGCAGAAAATAGAAAATTAAAAATATGAAACTGCAATTTATGAAATAAAGAGCAATTATGATCAAAAGGGTATTAAAATTTACAAAAAAGCTTAATATTTAATTGTTTACTTTATTAAATATTTCTTTCAACGCGCACATACATAAAGCATACGTTACGCATAGTCGAAATGAGAAAATTGCAACCAGAAAACTATTTGATGTGTATTCGTGATATTTATACTGGCGAGGAATTTGATTTAAATCATATCAAAGAAGTAGTACATCGAGATGAAATACAGTCAAAAGTCATTAATTCAGACACCCATAATCCGGAATGATCTATAATCCAAACCTCAAAGTTACAAACTTTCTGCGCATCGCGCGTATTTACGCATGCGCTTAAGACCTTTACGGTTGCGCATATGCGTGTGCGCATGCGTATATTACATTTACGCTTGCGCGTTTAATGTATAACGGACGGTATAAGCTGAAATTATCTAATTATCTATTTCAGTTAATGTTGCAGATTGCGTTGTTCCTTAATTTTCGAATTGGATCTGGTTTATTATTTTTTGCAGACTGTTAGAGCAATTTTATAAAAGTAAGCTTGAACTTTCGATTATGTCAAATAGAATTTTCTATGCTGGAGCTCCCAAAGGATCTACAAAGCAAAAGTATGTTTCAATGTCCATCAAACAAAAAGTGAAATTGCTGCAAAAAATGGATAACGGCATATTCTTTGTTTCTCTAACCATTCCGAAATCTGTTTTATCAATTTCATGCTGCTCTGCGGCGGGGGGACGCCGCGGTGCGTTATGAATTGGAAGTTGATCTGTCAGCACTATCCTTATCTTCATGGCAGACGTTTTTATTTTATTTGGCTTATTATTCCTTACTAAATGTAGTATTTCATCTTGATGTACTCCGTCTTTGATATGATTTAAATCAAATTCCTCGTCATTATAATTTGCTTCCGATAGTGAAGAAAGTGACACAGAGGTTATTGAAAACGAAAAAATTTCGATCGGCAAATTAGTCAATATTCTATACACAGCAATTATAGGACCTTGAACAGCGGAACTTTGTAACTGAACAAGAAGTTATGTCTGTTTATAGAATTAAAGAGAAAGTATTCTCACATAAAACGAAGCAACTTAATGGACATAGAATGCCATCTAGTGGCCTTCAGAAAAACGTTCCAGCTTAAAATGCGTATACGCATCACCCATCCTCTGAATGCAGTCTCTATCGATGCGTGGATGGGACGCCCGGCTGTAAGAGACATTCTTAGGGAATGCGTATATGGGATGCCCGTCCTTAAAGGGTTAATGGACATCGAAACATGCTTTTGCTTTGTAGATCCTTTGGCAGCTCCAGAATTGGAAACTCTTATTGACATAATCGAAAGTTCAAGCTTACTTTTTATAAAATTGCTCTAACAGTCTGCAAAAAATAATAAGCCAGATCCAGTTAGAAGGAGCAATGCAATCTGCAACATTAACTGAAATAGATAATTAGATAATTTTAGCGTTTTAATTTTATATTTATATATTAAACGTGCATGCGTAAACGCACATGCGCATGCACAGAAAGTTTATAGCTTTGAGGTCCGGATTATGGACTTCCGGATTAAAGACTTTGCACTGTATAGAGTTTTGATTACTATTATTATGTTATTGAGAAATACCTTAATTCTTTAATTCTTAATAATGAATGTTTATTATAATTACTGTGTTATAATTTTTAGATACTGAAATTGATTGGAAAGCGTATATGCAAGAAGTAGAAGGTGTAATTAATGGTACTTTGGATTATCAGCATTTAAAAGGTGATACTGGACCTTTAGTGTAAGTTTTTTTTTATTTTTTTAATTTAAGCAAATAACTATTTAAATTTCATTTTAATGAAGAGAAACAATAACTGTTCGCTCACTGGAGAATTAGAATCAAGTTATTTTTGTTTTAAACTTTGATAACATCTTAGAACAAAGCATTTTCTATATTTAAATTAACTAAAAACTTGCTTCTAATATGGCATTGTTATTTCTACTGTATTAACTGTGTTTGTGACATGATCGCTTTTGTCTGGTTATGAAATTTTATGTAATTTAGTAGGTGTTAACAAATTTATATATCTATTTATACATATATATTTTATGCTACAGAAAATTTAAAATATTTTATTTTCTTATATTCTTTAATAATCTGACTGTTATTATAATAAATAGAAGATTATGAGGGTATAATTTTAAATAAATAATTAAAGAATAAAATGGGTAATTATACAAATTTAGCTTATAAATGTTGTTTAAATACAGCTATTCATCAGTGGGTCCAAAATACTCTTCCTTTCAGAGGGCTAATTAAATTGCAATTACAAGTAATTGGAAGTAATAATAGTTAAATGTTATTTATTGGAAGATATTTCAATATAACAAAATATAGGCTCCTATTGCTTATGAACATGTAGTTCTAAAGAATATTAAACTTTCTAAAGAATATTATAAAAGAATCAAATCTGTTGAAAACTAAACACATTTTTGATTATTTCTGTTTCACAGTTATTTATACTAGTATAAATGGGCTTTCATTTAAATTTGTGTTAACTTTTATTGAGCTAGAAAAATTACTATATATTCAGATTTATTTTATAATCTAATTTTTGAGATTTTATTATAGTATACATAAATTACTTACTATATATTCAGATTTATTTTATAATCTAATTTTTGAGATCTTATAGTATATATAAATACTACATTAAAATATATAATGACAGATTTAATAGTTTCAGTTCATGAAAATCTGCAGTAGCGAGAAATAAACTTTTATTTTTCTTTCATAAGCTACACAAAGTTAAGGAGAAATTTTTTAGTCAACAGAATTTTCTTATTTGAAGATTTATTTATTTATTTAAATTACATCTAAACCTACAAATTGCTCTGATAATTTTAATTACAGGGTCATTTAAAGTTTTAACAGAATAGCATGTTAATGAGTAATCTTTATCTGACTTTTAAATGGAAAATTGATACAGAATTCCCCTTTTTGAGGGGGTGTTCTTTGAATGGCATTAAAATGGGAGTTTATTTAATGTTAAATGTATTAAATAATGCTGAGATATGTCAAGTATGTTTTATCTTTGGAAAAGTAAAATTTGACATTTTTAATTATAATACAGTGTACTCTCAATTATCCAGGTGCAGATTATCTGTGAGTGGCAGTGCCCATGCATGCGAACATGTGCAAAACGAGCACGCACAAGTCCGAAACTATTGAATTGCATTGGTGTCAATGATTACCTTGTACAGTTTGTTCTGCTGCATGTGCAAAGGCACGATTTTGGTTGATCTTTGGGATGCTTTTGTTTCCTGTGTATTTTAGTGCATAATTTCTTTATTCTTTTAAAAACTGATTTAAAATTTTAGGTCAAATTTAAAACCAATAACACCAATTCGATCAGGGAGAAAGAACCTGCATAATACGTATTTAATTTTGGATTATAGTTGTATGCCTCAAAATTAAAAATATAAAATTCTTTGAAAATGTCTATTGAGAAAACCTTAAGGAATGACTCATTGATGATTCAACTGACCAGGCTTTCAGTATTTCAACTGATGTATATGTCATTTCATATGTCACAAGAACAGAAGATGCAGAGAATGATACTAAAAATACAAACGAAGAATATACTGACAACTACATTAGTCAGAAAACAGCAGTGACTTCTGTAGAAATCTGCAGAACTTTGTTGACGAAAGGGATTTGAATACAATGATAAAATAGTACTTCAAAGAATACACAGTGAAATATGATAAATATTTAGATGTTCTCAAAAATAAAGTAAAATTACTGATTGTTTTTTTTAAAAAAAAAAAAAACACAATATTCATGAAAATATATGTTTGGATTACCCTTGTTTTTCAATTATCCTTGACCTGCTTTTCCGGCATTAGCCCAGATAATCGAGAGTATGCTGTATATATAACTTATTTTACAGTATTTTATATATATATATATATATATATATATATATTTTTTAGGTATCCGGCTGGTTTTGTGTATGTATACTTAATATTTTATGCTTTGACCCAAAGAGGAACAAATATTCTTATTGCTCAGCATATATTTGCAATATTGTACTTAGCAACTTTATATATTGTATTCCGGCTGTATATAAGATCAAGACTTGTAAGTACCATGATGTTGATTGTCTATATGCTTTATTCTATATGATATTTATATGCTTGTTCTATATTATATTAAATCTACACCGAAGAGCCATTACATTATGACCATCCTCCAACTATAACAATGGGTTCGCTGAGGAACAAAACCACTGTGGGTGTGTGGCTGATGTTGGAGTATATAAAGCAGCTATGCATTGTCTTTCCAAACATAGTGCAATTTGCGACATAATGGGAAAAGCAGCTGATTTATCAGACTTTGATAAAGGTCAAATCGTTATGGCTTGGCGATTGGAAACATTAATATCAGTAATGGTGCATTTAGTAGGCTGTTCACATGCAGTTGTTGTGAGTACATATCGAAAGTGTTGTATGGATGGTGAAACGACAAGTCGCCGGCCTGCAGTGTGTCGTCGATGGCGTATTGATTCCAAAAGACAGCAGAGTGATGCAAAAGCAAAGTTTAAAAATTGTAAAATTAAACTTTTAGCAAAAGTAGCAATAGAAGCTCCCTAAGGTTATGTACTGTGCAGGCATTGAAGACAAAAATTTTTAAACTTAACCAATTTATTAACAATATATAAAAATAAAAACACAATGAATAAATTTAATCAATATCAGAAACTTAAAGAATATAACATAATCATTATCAAAATTACACTTAGTTGATAATCCATTAACCCCAAGGGTTTTCCTTTAAAGAATGTTACACTATTAAACAATATTTTACCTGATCTCCAAATACTGGCATTCAATACGCGAAAAACATATCATTAAACAGAAATTACACGGTTTTAATGAAATTTGCTACACTATCAATAAGTCCATGCTTCGTGGTCAAGAAGGCACCTGAAAAATTAAATTAAATCCTTGAGAGCACTTAAACCGGCAAAACGCCGCTCACTGTAGTTACACACGGGAAATCACAGCTTGGAAAAACATCGCCGCTAATCCGTGTTGAAGATGCCGCCTTCATGAAAACAGGATACCACCCACGGCAGTCACTCACATTGTAGCCTCATTTCAGGATCCAGGAAAAATCATCTTGTAGTCTGGAACCACGGCACTAGTGGAACCATGGCACTAGTCGCTGGCTGGCATGCATCGCAACATCATCTTCCAATGGGGGCTGGAACGGCACACCAAGGAGCAAAGAAACAGGAAACAGAAGGAATAAGCCAGAGCGACGCGAGATACTTATACCTGAAGTAGACATGACGTCATCTCACGGCAACCAATCAGCTATCGGCACAACTCAGCTTTCCAGATGACGTAACATCAAGCTTCGTTTTTACATCTTAATTAGGCTGGAACAGTCTGTTCTTAATACCAACAGTGGCAGTGAAAAACGAAGTAGAGGTAACTACTATATCCCTTTAAAATAAGAACTAAGCCTTATATAAAAGTTAGAAATATTTCAAGGAGGAGAGATGATGCAAAAAAAGGGTTACAATAGGTCATATTTTCCAACAAATGCCCCCCACATCATCATCTCCGACCTGAAATAAAAACTGAACGCCAGTATTTTTACAAAATTCAAAACAAGAATAAATAAATATCACAACTCCATTCAATTCAGAAATTTTTAAGAAAAATTTTCCTTTGGGAACATCTTATCCCATTTTTCCAAAATTTTACCATAACAAGAAAGTCCAACATGTTACAAAACAATACAAAGACATATGTATGATCATACATTCAATACATTTACCCAGGGCCCTGGTCATTCGCACAACATTCTACACTATACAATTTTACATTTACCTAATACTCATCATAATATGACTTATAACAACATATTATTTCAAATAAACAAAACTTTAAATACACACAAAAACAAATTTCATAAGAAAATTGTTCCACAAAATCTTATCAAGTTAGTCAGCGGTTTTGTCATGGGATCAGCCAGATTATCTTTACTTGGAACATATTTTAGAATCAAAAATTTCCCTGTTCAATAGATCACGAATGAAGAATAGTTTTACATCTATATGTTTTGTCCTTGAGTTTTCAATGGGTGATTTTGTAAAACATATAGCAGCCATGTTATCTGCAAACAATATAGGTTTTGAAACATAGTTACTTGCAATCTTAAACTGAATGCATTCATCCAAAATGTTTTTAAACCAAACTAATTCTTTTGCTGATTCAGTCATGGAGATAAATTCAGCCTCCATAGTAGACAAACTCACTCCCCTTTCTTTAAATGTACGCCAAGATACAGGTGATTCTCCCAACAAAGCTATTTGTCCACCAATAGACACCATATCATCCCTGCTTGAAGCAAAATCCGAATCTGAATATATTGAGCTTCAGTTCCTTGCATACCAGTTTAAGTTTGTGCTGTCTGGTATTGGAAACGTACCCTAAAAGTTTAAGTAATCCTTCCCAGTGAAACTTACCAGGATTGCTTTGGAAACTGAGAAAATATATTAACAGCATAAGCTATATCCGGACGAGTACGATTGCAAAGAAACGAGAGACATCCCAAAACATTTCTATAAGGATAATTCATCATTTCAGTCGTTTCTTCTTCTTGTGTACTGGGACTTTGAGACTTTGAGTATTTCACACCTTTAACTATTGGAAGGGAAGTAATTTGTATTTTAAAAGACTTAAATCGATCAACTATGTCTTCTATATATAATTGCTGATGAATTAAAACACTATTGTTCTCATATTCAAATTCCACACCCAGAAGCTTTCTTGTTTTACCCAAAATTTTCAAATCAAAATGTGAATTCAGGACTTTTAATATCCTTTTAGGCCTGAACTTCACTTTTTCCAAACACAACAATATCATCAACATAAACCAACAGAATGACAAAATCTTTAAAACGATAGACACAATTACACCACTCAAACTTGATAAACCCTAGGTTACATAGTGTTCTATCCAACTCGTAGTAGTACCATAATCGCCCACTCTGATGCAGACCATACAAGGCTCTATCTAAACGACACACAAAAGTTTCTTTATCTCGCTCTACAAAACCCTGAGGTTGGGACATGTAAATTTCCTCTGATAAAGGAGCGTAGAGATAGGCACTTTTTACGTCGCATTGTATATTTGCCCATCCAAGGTGTGCAACTAAAGAGGAGAAAAAAGAGCCTTATTACTGAAAAGTTGACTACAGGAGAGTAGGTTTCATCATAGGTATCGTATTTAATTTGCCGATAACCCTGAGCCACTAAACGAGCTTTAAAACGAACAATGTTTCCAAATTCGTCACGTTTAATGTTGAAAATCCACCTGCAACCTAGTGGAGTCTTGTCTTTAGGAAGTGGAACAAGATGCCATACCTTATGCTTTCGCATGTTGGCCATTTCCTCTTCCATTGCCTCTATCCATTTAAGCTTTTCTGTGGATTTTCATTGCCTGGTTATAAGTGTTTGGAATTGAAACCTCTAGTCAGCTATCTCGGGTATATGACGTTGAAGGAGTACCAGTTGGGTCGATTTCACCACTATAAGTATTGCTTCCCTTGAAATCAAACAAGGTAGGATCATACTGAATATTATGCTTCAGTGCAATACCTTTTCTACATCATTTGGTGATCGTAGTCTTTGATTAGACCCCCTCTCAAAATAATACACATCCGTACGAGTGCCGTCTGGCCTTGGAACAGGTTTACGAAGCCAAGTTACCTTGTCTCAATGTAGATTGAGTGTCAGTGCCAGGTATAGAAGAGGGTACACTTGGTATCGGTTCTTTCCTCTATTTCAGGAAAATAGCCAACTGGAGTATCAGTAGATTGGAACTCTACCCTCTTCTTCAGATTCCAAATCAGGAAGGGTGCCCAGTGCAGCTCCACTGCCACTTTTCTCTGCATTCCAATTGACTCTTTAAAAGTAGCATTTAGGGTTTCTACTACCTTTTGTTCATTTTCCATTTCCAACCAAATCTTGTACCCTTTTGTTCGTACACTGTATCCCAATCAATCGGCCCTTCGTTGCCTTTGGATCAAGCTTAGAATTTCTTTTAGCCTTTGGAATTCCCACATAGGCAATCGTTCCAAATGCCTTAAGATGACGTACTGATGGTTTCCGCTTAGTATACAATTCGAATGGGGTTTCTATCTTGGCCCTTATGACAAATTCTATTAAATGAATATGCAAAATACATCACTGCATCTGACCAAAATTCAGGAACTCATTCCACTATCATGTAAATTGCACGTACAGTTGAGAGCTTGATTGAATCTCTCACATATGCCTTACTGATGGTTTCATAACAATTCGAATGTTCTATCTGTTATGACAAATTCTATTAAATGAATATGCAAAATACATTACTGCATCTGACCAAAATTCAGGACTCATACCACTATCATGTAAAATTGCACGTACATTGTTGAGAGCTGTCTGATTGAAATCTCTCACAAACTCCATTTGTTCTGGAGTATATATATCTGTAAATTCGTGCTTTACTCCCATTTTTATTACAATATGACCTGAATTGATTCATTATCATATTCTCGTCCCATTGTCAGTTCCTAAAGTATTTCAACTTAAGGTTCAAAGATCTTTCAGCACGTGCTATATGCCTTTCAAATACTTCAAACACCTGACTTTTCTCTACAATGGGGTACACTACCACATAACGAGAATATTCGTCAATAAAGGAAACAAAATAACGTTCACTATTCCTACCTGGAATGTTAATAGGTCCCCATACATCAGAAAAAAACCCTTTCAAGCGGTCCTCTTTACTTGAATACCTTCTAAAGGGTCTATAGGAGATTCGTCTTTGCTTATTGATTTGGCAATGTTCACAAAACAAATTAGGTGAGTGCTTTAACACAGGAAGACCTCGAACTGAATGTCTCTTACTAGTCCTGACAATAGCACCATAATTTATATGACCAAACCGACCATGCCATAATTCACTATTGTTATGCTGAACTGTGGATGCCTCAAATTTTACAGATTTGCCCCCCCTTTTTTTCACTATTTTCGGGAATACATGATAGTTTTACTTCCTATCAACTTAGCCTTGTAAAC